TACCCAAAATTCCTTTTTTGGAAAATTGAAATGCCGGAACATAATTGTCGCACTCTCATATGTGTTGGACACTTCTACCATTTTCCTTATGGATGTGCAAAATTTTGTGAGTGTGACACGAGGATGGCTTTTGGCGCACATTTTCAAGGCGTTTGGGTACCGCACATTTCCGTTTGTGGAGCAGCCGCGGTCTCGGCCGGACGCCCGCCGCGGTGCGCACCCGGTGCAAACGGAGCACGGCCACTCTGATGGTGATGACTCTACGCAGAAAAGAACGGCACGCACCTCGGCCGGCCGGCAAGCACAGCTTAAGAGGAGGCTAAAGTCCCGGCCGTCCAGCGCGCTGGCGGGCTCCGCGCGGCACGCGCAACGCCTTGCACGGGAAGACTTCTCACGTTGTTTCTCAAAAACCCGTGCACCGAAAAAATCCAAATCTGGCAGGTGGGTCCGGAGCACGGCCACTCTGATGGTGATGACTCTACGCAGAAAAGAACGGCACGCACCTCGGCCTCACCGGCACCGCGCGGCTTGATTCCGTCCGCGTCCGAAACGCGTGCCTCGCCGAGCCTGTCGCGAGCCACTCCATTCGGACGCGCCCTTCACCCATGCCGCTGCTGCCGCCGCCTTGCTGAAGGTCGCGCTCGGCGCCGCAATAGCTACGCTAGCCCTGACTTAACCGCACGAGGAAGCGCCACGCCGCCGCCGCACCGCCCGGCTCCAATTTCTCATTATTTTACAATTGGTCGTTCGTACTTTTGGGGAAGGAGTTCCGGTCCGGGCAGAAAATAATGGAACTGGGATATACGGAACGGGCCGGTCCGGGGCCCGTTTGAGGCACGTGTATCGCGAGCAAGGCCGCGACGCCATTGGGACCTGCCCGCTGCGTCGCCCTGGCAAATGGCAAAGACGACGTCGTAGCGTGACGTCCCGCGTGTCTAATTATGCACCAAATCCTATGTTTGCGAAATTTGAAGTTCACCGGCTCCGTCGCGCGTTGGCGTCGTGGACTCGCTGTTGCGGACGCATGAGGCTCAAACTCGAAGACAACCGAATTTCCGCGGATAGCCCGGAGCCCGGTCCCGGTATTTCAGCATAGTGCTTGATTTTCCATTCTGATTTAAAAAAAAATTGTAGTCGATTTTCCCTTGATTTTTTTCTGATTTTTTTTTTTTTTTTAGTGTGGACGACACTGATGTTTTGTTGAGTGAAGGACCCCTCAATTTCAGCCGCGATGAAAGCTTGTCAAACTGCGCCGAAAATACACACGTCGGAGCTTAGAGCATAATCATCATATCCGACGAATAAGAAACATCCGATCAAAGTAGCCGAAACACACACGAGCCAAACTATGGCAAATGGCAAATAATTGGCGTGTGTTTTCGCACAGTGACGTCACCCGGCGTGCACGGACGTGCACATACGACTCACCAGGCGGTGGGCGCGGTCCACGTTGAAGGAGCGCGCGCGGAGGAACCGCAGCAGAAAGGGGTCGTCCATGCGGTAGGGAGTGACCTCGCCGCGCTCTGTCAAACACAGTCATCCGGTCTTAGCGATCGGGAACATAACTACGTGCCTCGAAGGCGATCGTCCAGAAAGTACATCCGTTATTTTTCTTCTTCTCATCGGATTCCGTCGGAAAACATACGACGGGAGGAGCTCGGCGCCTGCGAGACTTCGGGTAGGCAACCAACCCACCCGTCGTACACGCATGCACTGCAGGCAAGATGTTGCCTACCCATCAGGCGCTATGAGAGCTTGTGCACTTTGAATGATTTGTCTAGTCAGGTTCGTAACGGTGAATCACGGACGTACTTTTTGGATGATCCAAAGGGACGGGAGCTGTACAAATGTCATGGGGGGCAAAAAGAATCAGAATAACCATTAGAGTCCATGTGACCCATGATATGTTTTCACCAGGGTACAAAGTATGGCCATAATATTTATACCCCTGCCCGCATTATGATGTGCAATACCCACCGTAAATGATGTCCTTGAGCTCCTGCAAGGTGCGCGTCTTGACCTCGTCCGTCTCGCCGAGGACCCTCCTGGCGTACTCCATGTCCTGCTCGGTGGGCTCGGACAGGTCCAGGGAGGCCTTGTCGTCGGAGACGATGTCGGGCCGCTCGGAGCGCAGCTGCGTCTCCACGCGGGTGAGCTCGGGGCTCGCGGCGGACGGCATATCTGCAGATGGAAAGAAACGTTTCGTCGTTCAGTGTCCCTTCCCAGAGCCAAGCCCATCAACCATCAACGCCGCTTCTTTGGAACAACTAATAAAAACTACGTGTAAATCGCTCTGCACAAAAACAGTTCCAAGCGATATTCCTTGCAAGCGTGACTCACTCGCTCACCCATACAGGCTCCCCCCTTGCCCTGCCCTACCTCAACGGAACGTAGCCGAGCAGCCGCACCGCACGGCGACGGCGGCGTGGGTGACTTCAACGCAACCGAACGCAACAGACACGTGGCTACACGGCATAAGCCGGCAAAGGCAGCTGTTTCTCCGACACGTATCCCCACAGTGCCGACCTGGTGGCGATGTATTTTGCTCCGCCCAGCATCGACCTGACGTCACACGTCAGAGAGGAGGTGGTTCAGGTTCAGCTGGCACCTGCTAGCTATTATTCAAGTTATTGCTGATTCTGATTTAGGGAAGTATACATTATAAATGTAATATTATACCGCTTTTCCCTCGGCTAATGCTTCTGAGAGGGTGTGGAATCTACACGAGAGCGCACCCTTTTCTTCTCCTCTTCGGGTCTTTGACCCACGAGTTCCCACACCCCCTACCATCGTCCTCCTCCATGTGGATGCGAACACGAACACACTGAGAGAGTGAGAGAGCGAGTGAGGGAGGGAGAGAGAGTGAGAGCATTCCGGCTCCAACGACCATTCTACGTGCGGTGCGGCAGGCGAGAGGGGGGGGGGGAGCGAGAGAGAGGAGCGTGGGGTACGGCACGCACGATTGCCAAGGTCACCCAGGCGATGGTCAGCACGACCCGATTCGGCTTAATCAGTAGGCAGCGAGTGTCCTGCCTGGAGAGAGTACCCAGTACTCGGCCCGGGGCCAAGCGAGTCTGCAGATAATGCCTCTATATTGATCTACGAAATAAAATAATGGTATATGGATATAGCATATACACAGACATATTCGCAGCCCTTTGCAAGGTAAAAGCTAAGTCTGTTTTTTTTTTTTTGTGTTTTTTTTAGGAAAAAGGGAAAACTCTCCATAGGAAAACTCCTCCAATCTCGCCTCAGATTTTGGGGAATCTTCTCAAAAAACGAGAGGAAATCCCACACTGTAAATTGCTTACGAACTATAGGTTCGTAATGCAAACTAAAACGTTCGTAGCTTACGAAGGATTTTGAAGCGTTGTATTACGAACTGATTGTTCGTAAGCTTACGAACAAATAGTTCGTAATGCAAACCGATTGTTCGTAAGACCCGTCTAGCCTTACAAACAATCGCTTTGCAATACGAACAATTTGTTTGCAATACAAAGAACGAAAATTGTTCGTAACGTTGCAAAGTATTTAGTTCGTAAGCTTTTTACAGTGCACATTTTTTGAGGAGACTTCCTCGAAATCTGAGGAGTTTTTCTCAAACCAGAGGAAGTTTCTCAAAGTTTTCCCTTTTCCCTCAAAAAACGAGACATTGTTTTTACCGTGTGAGAATCGTGCAAAATCGTCGCACCTGGATACAGGAGTCAGGGAGTTGAACTACATCGTGAAAATTGTGAAAATAAGACAAGTCGAGAAGAAGATTATACGCCGAGACCAACGTCATGCAACGACACGACACTTAAATCCGCATTATTTAGCAGCTAAACGATGTGCAATTAATCGCAGTTTATACGTGCATAATAATATTCAAAGTTATATCAATGAGAAATCCCCCCTCCCAGATACCAATCCTCCCGTGTGACAGCCTAGTCACGCATTTAATAGTGTCATGTCATACATTCATTTATATGTTGAGCGCACCACCACCCAGGCAGGACGTATGTAAACAAACTGCGTACTCCTGCCGCCCCCCCTTTCCCCCTTTGGCTACCCGACGGGTAAAGTCTGCCCGCTATCGGTATTGGGCGAGTTAGTCGAGAGAGATCTGTCCAATAAAACGCCATCATGAAGCATACAAACTAGCGTGGCTCGGTGGCTATAGAACTGCAGCGCGGCCGATAAGACTGGCAGTCGACCTCATGGATTGGCTGCCGCTGGGGCCGGCGGTGCCGCCGCCAAGGCCGCACAGTCATGCAGCTCGTTCATGACCATCCTCTTCCTCTCCGTCTTTCTTTTCCTCTCTCTCTCTCGTTTCCTCTCTCTACTCTATCTCTCCCCTTTGCCCCCTTTCTTTTCCATGTCGCACTACTTCCTCCCAGTGCTCGCGTTTCCACCATACCACAAGAAGGTGGTGTCAGTCAGGCCTCCCGTTAAAGCAGATTTGTTGCCACCACCTGTCAGTAGTTACGCTAGGTTTTTAAACACCAAGACTGCTGAGTATAGTGTTTTTAAACAGTACATTAATTCTCTTTTACATTACTGACAGCTTGAAATTTTATTGCTGTGTATTGAACGAAACCAGACCGAATCCCTGACGAATTGATTCGTAATCCAGCACAGGCCTGGGATGACTCCGATGTGGAGCCCCCATAAACAATTAGAGGAAAACTAGCGAAAAGGAAAACAGCAGAGAACAGCCATAGTAGCTATAAAGGACCGTCTCTATCATGTCGTAAAGGGGGTGCTAAACGAGCGGAGGAGGCAGGTCGGGGCTCCCCACTACTGACTGAGCCCGGCCTTGACTCGGCCCGGCTCACTCGCTCACTCGCGAACTGTCAGCACTAGGCCAAACTGGAAGCGGCCCGCAAAGTGACTGCCTGGTTTCCAAGCAGAAGTGGCAATTTTCAAGCAAAAAGTAGTGCTTGGAAGTTACCACATTTGCTTGGAAACCCAAGGAGTTCCTTTTAGCGTGCACCGCGCTTGACAAATGCACTGTGTAGCAGGAAAAGGGGGGGGGGGCAGCGTGTCATCCGTCAAACACCATTATTATTTTGCTCAGTTTTCCCTGGTTTTTCTCCTCCCTCCGCACAGAGGTCACTGGTGAAAAGTTAAAAAAGAGCGTAAGTCCACGTAAGTCCTACAATGGACTTACGCCCTTTTCACTTATGTTTACCAGTGATGTTGCCTTTAACCCCTTTACCCACCCAAACCGCACCTAGCCGCACAAAGACACGCCCCCCTCCTCCCCGCCTCTCACCTGCGCGTGGCCTGTTGCAGGCCGACGTGGAGACCGCAGAGTGCAGTTCGTCTGCCTCGGTCGGCCCCCGACGCCAAAACGCAGAGCTCTGGAGGGTTAACTGTTGTAGCCGCCGTTGCACGTTACCTTTTCTCACGCCGAGGAAACGCTTTTACCCGCTGCCGGTACACTGCACCCTACTTGAATTAACACGTAACTACTCGAACCAAAAATCGTTTTCAAAGGACTTAACAATATTTAATACAACTTACGTTTACTCAAAGATGTTGTTGCTCACACAACAATCGTTTGTGTTACATAATTATCCTTGAGAAATAGTAACGTGCTTTCGAAGGATAACGTTATGTTCAACTATGTTACGTGTTCTTCCCACAGCGCGTTTCTTACTACGAACTATTTTCGAGTAACACAACAGCACAACTTCTAAAGTCCGCACACACACGACGTACGTGAGTGTGTGTCGCGTCCGTTATGTTGCATGATGGGGTCCCTTTTCCAGCGTTGGCGTTGACGACCCACAGCGATGCAGGGGGGATGTCACAATCGCATCACAAAAGAGACGCGACGGCGACGACGCCACTTGCACACGCAACGACGCGGCGAAGACGCTGCTCCTCTGCGGCGGAGCCCTCGAGCGCATCCCGTCACGATACCCTGAGGAGGACGGCGTCGGTGAGGAGCGGCGGTGACCGGGGCGCGCGGGGGCGGGCGGGGGAAAGGGCGTCGCTTTGGCAAGAATGCATCAAGGAGCAATTCTGCAGAGAGTGGCGGGGCGGGGGGGACACTCTCGCACCGAGCACCGCCACGCCACGCTAGGCGACAAAGCACAAGAGGATGGAAGTCAGCGACCCCCGTGAGCGGTACGCGACGCCGCCGCCGGGGCTCCTCGGCCCGCACACCAGCTCAAGTGGCGTCGTCGTACGGCTTCTTTCCTTCCTCGTCCGATATATACACGTTTTCGGTGCGTGTGCGAGAGAGACGCAAATTGCGGCAGCGATGGCCGGCGAATAGAGAGATAAGATGAGGCGCGGTGTATTCAAAATAATATACGCGACACTAAGACCACACTCGACCCCAATCCCGTCCTTCACTCCTTGTGTTGTGGTCGATTATCTCATCTCTCTATCTTCTAAAGTCAGGGGTGACGGGCGGCGCGTTGAGTTCGACGTGAAACTTTTTTTTTCATACCGAGCGGGGAACGTCCATCGACATGTCAACAAGCGGACGCGCCGGTTAGTAGTGGCGACGCGATGAACACTGCGGATG